TACTACACAAGCATGCGCAGTGGCTGAATTTGAAATCTTTAGCTCACACAATCACATAAAACATCCCTGCAAAGTTTTAGCCTTTTATCTTGCCTGGTTCTCAAAATCGGTTTTTGCCAAAGAAATTTGCATATTTTTTCGAAGGTCCGTACGCGGAGTCTAGGCGCATATGAGCGAAGATTTTGAAACGGGAGGCTGACACACGGAGTAGAAATCTGTCTTCAAAATTTTATCACTCCAGCTTTCCTGGTTGCTGAGTTGAAAGTGGGTGACAAATTCCACTCGCTTCCGAATACACACAAATACACACACAGACAACCTCTCGACAATATGCATTTTTGTTCGCTGTAGCAGCGCTACTGCAAAAACCCATAAAAGTGGCAAAACCAGTAAAACCTTTATTTTAAAAAATTTTCATCACACTAGCCAGAAAATATGTCATAGTTTTGCAAAAATTACTCATAAGGGTTCATTTCCTTCAGTCGCTATCTACATGTTAACCACACTACTCTATATGCCATCTAGTAATTAATTAAATTTAAAAAATAATGGATTTCATTTAGCAGTGAAAAATAAGCCATTTGTATTTGGAGCCAGTGACCGATTCCGTACGATCCACAAAATACCTGGGCCGGAATCTCTTTTATGTTTATCGGTGCTATCGTAATGTATTCTCAGAATGTCTTCGATAATTTCATAAATGCGATCGAACGTCTGCCCGAATAAAACCGGATTAGCATTCTTGAAAATGAAAACTGCCCGCATAAGTTGCGTCAAGTTCAATCTATTATAAGATGGAAAGTGCCATTTGGATGAATAATCTTTTGTGAGGAGACATGCCGCATGTAAATCTGCCAGTGCTTTGACAACCTGAATTGGTGGGAATATTTCAGTACTGGTAAATACCTCAGTTAGTTATATCAGAAAAATACCGTAACTTTTAACTTTCGTCTACTGATGATTGATTCCAGTTCCTCATCCAAAGACGCACCCACATAGTTAGGGTAGAATAAAAGCAAGCGCACAAGAAAAAAGAAACCTTGTTCATCAGCCTACAGTCACTAGTCAGCTGATAAAATCACTGTGCCAGAAAGTTCTACGAAGCGCATCAATGAAATGTAAGTTTTTATTTGACTTATGTTAAAATGCTGCTGGCCAACAAAAATGTGCATAGCTCGCATAGAAAAAAAAGTGTTTTTGTAACGAAATGATGTTGCAAAATAATTTTCATCCCAAAATCACTAGATAATGTATTAATTGCTATGGGGACGAATGAACAGATCGTAGAAGGGCTGCATGTCCTATTGAGAAATTGAACACATAATCTATTGTGTTTCTGTCTTATTTTTTGAAAATTTTCAGAGACTGCAAGAATTGCCAAATAACTGTTTAAAAGGAGGCGGATTTAAATATGGCTTTTAACACTGTACCTCCTTTAAACATTCGATTGATAAATCGTTCGCAGCTGACATATTTGTGGTTTTTGTGAAATCTTCAAAAATGATAACACCGGGATCGCAGAGTTCGCTGATCAACGGTTTCGCAAATACCACTGGTGGAACTTTTAGATTTGGACTGTTTAATTTGTGAGCGAATTCCAAAAAATCACATTCAATGTCATGGCACTAAAGGCTATTTTTTAAAAAGAAGCCCAATTTACCGTAGAATTAAAAACGACGACGATAATATAAGTAACATATAGTTAAGTAATATCGAAAAAAAAGTAAAGAAGCTCTGTGGATTCAGGAATAAAATGGATTTGAATATTTTTCATATTTTCAATTTACTTCGCCTTACGTGTATGCTTCACAAATACTTCCTAATAAGGGACAACAATAAATACTCAAATTCACTTGGCTTGCCCAGCTATGTTTTACGTTTAAAAAAGGCATTTCCGTCCCGTTTACTCATTTT